ACTGCAGGTACTTTGTGAAGGCTCTGACACCAGCGTTTTTGGTCTGTGTAGGATCCTCTTCTTTTTGTAGACATTATCTCCAGAGGAGGAAGGTACACCAGGTAAAGTGACCACCAAGCCAGGCTGCGGGAGCCAGGCCCGCTGGATCTCTTTCCTCATCCTCCTGTGTGGAATCCATCATACCTGGATCACCTGGACATACTCCCTAGAATCCAACACTTTCTTTCTGTCACCCTGGGGACAGTCCTTCCTCACATTGTGGTGGGGGAGGAGCTGCTGACTTTGTTAGCCGCACCTTCTCTGGTTTTCACTTTCCTCTCTTGATAGAAAACTCTGTGCCTTGGTCATGACATCCTTGGACTGTGAGCTATGTTAACCACTAGCCTCCATCTCTGGAGGGATCATCTGTTGCAGTTACCATAGCAACTGACCCAAGGAACTCACTGGACTGACTCAGGATCCAGTGACCTGGTTCTGAACCTTTATGGATTTAGAGGCGTTAGAGAAGCTGCCTCTCAAATTGCACATATACACAAATCAGGCATGTAATTTTAAGGAATTAAAGCTGAGTGACTCTGGCCTCCCGTTATTTCATGAGCACAGTGGTTTGCGCCGTGGGGGTGCTGTAGATGCGTTGGGGTGCAGTGGAGCCTGATTCTGCATCTGTAAAGACCTACACTCTGGGATCCTCCAGAACCCCTGGAAAACTTGCCAGTTTTCCTGATCTTTGCAATATAGAGGACTGTGACACACTAGACAGTGGATTCTACATTCTTCTCCAGTTTTCACATTTTAGGATTTTGTGTCATAGGTTGTATTTTTGTCTGCACTATTTGCTTCCTGCTTCCTAGGGGGTTTTCTATATCCTTACCTATGGCCATGTGACTTCTTGTAGTGCCCACCCTATCCCCCCAGGGAAGAGTGTACTTCCCCTGAAGAGCCATTGCATATAGGCTCATGCTCTTTTCCCTCTGCCATGAGAACCTGTTTCTCAGATTGGGGCTGTTCCTTCAGCCTGGGTGCCAGAGTGGTTAAGACACATGGAGCACAGGTGCAGCAGCTGGCTGCAGCCACAGATTGTAACACGAATCAGAAAATGTTTGTTGTAGTAATAAGCACTGAGGTTTGGGGGTTGTTTGTAACTGTAGCAAAGCTAGCTAATACATCATTAAACTGAAACCAGCTGTTGTCCTTAAGATGGACTAATGTGGGGTTTTGTGCTGTGCGCTGCTTTGTCTTTGAAGGGCAATTTGTTGCGGAATATTGACAAAGAACCAAGTTTCCTTCCAGGTACAGGTCCCTGCCTGTGGCTTGTGGCCAGGAAGCTGAAGTCCAGCCTCCTAAGCCTGGCTGAGACCATACTGAGGCCATTCTCCCTTGCTCCCCGGCTAGAGACTCCCGCTTGGCCCTTCGTGAGAACTCAGCACTTTGTGTAAGACGCCTGACACTGAGTTAGCAACAGCCCTAGCAGGCATTGCGGGGTTCCCCGTAGCAGCCACCTCCAGCCACCTCTTTTGGGGCAAAGCAGTTCCCAATGTGCCGCCTTACTGATGACGCTGCCGTCTGCTCAACACTGGGATGAAGTGCCACGAGAGCAGGCTAGACATTCAGAAGTACGTACCTGACGAGGCTCATCATGTGACCTTCATCCCCATCACCCAGCCCTCTCATAAGGCTGACAGGCCAGGTCCTCGGCCAGCTTCTGCTCTCCCTTCCCTTCAGTCCCTGCGCCTCCCTCCAGCAGTGGGTAGGGGCAGAGGTGGAAAGGGGAGAAATGGGATTTAGAATGGCAGACTGTTAGACATAGGATCTTGGTGGCTGCTGACTTGCTGTGACTAAGGGACTGCACTGGGAGCCTACCGTATTTGCCGGCGTATAAGACGACTGGGCGTATAAGACGACCCCCTAACATTTCCACTCAAAATACAGAGTTTGTTATATACTCNCACGAGGTCTCAGGTATCTTCAGTTCTGATCCAACACCACAGGATCTCTTTTTCTTCCTTTCTATGTAATTAGTGACTTCTGTTCTTAATATATTTATTCATTTGATCAATCTCTTTGTATTTAATCCCCCTCCTGTCGCCACCACTGCCCCCTCTCCCATGTGGAAACTTCCTCATCCAACTTGGACTCTTGACTTCCCACATCAGGCTGCTGCTGACTCACCCTGAGTGCCCTTATCCTACCACACTGACACCCCACACTGCTCAACCACCCTGCGTGAATGTCCCCCGCATCCCGCTTGGGTTCTCACTCCCCACCGCCTGTGGGGAAGGCCATGAGTGGTTGCCTTCCTCGCCCTGTTGGGCCCTGACTCCCCATATTGGCTATGGTCACTTATGGACATCTTCCTCACCCCACGTGGGCTCCGACACCCACCCTGGACAGCTGTCTTACAAGGAAGTCCTCATCCTGCTTATGCTGGCCGTCCCCCAGCAGGGATCCCCTCCCACTGGCCAGGCTCTGACACCCCTCACCCCCCACAGCCCTCCTCTGCAGATGTCTTCCTCACACTTGGGTTTTCACACCTACACGGGGCCATTCTGTGTGTGGACATCCTTCTCCCCCTGCTCTCGGCCACCATGGCCTTGCTCCACACCTCATGGTTCTAGGACTGAATTGTTAGGACGGGAAGGCTCACAGGCCTGGGCTTGAGTCTTAGCTCCTCTGTTTGTTGGCTGGGTTTCATTGGTGAGTTATTTCCCTTCTCTGAGCCTTGGTTCTGTCTTTGGAAAATGGAGCCAATAATACCTTTCTTGGTGTCATGGAGGAGGACTGAGTGTTTTATACTTCACGGCTCTATAAAGGAGCCATTCAGTGAATATCAGTCACCATCTCTAACTTTTCCCTAGACTTGGCCTTGATATGCCAGGCGCTGCTGCAGCCCTTCATTTGTATCTGACTCCTGCTCCTTTGTTAACCTTGCAGGTCTTCTTTGAGGGTGAGGACAGTACAGAACTGTACCAGGTGCCTCCCAAGAGCACCCTGCTGCAAGTGCTGCAGCACCCCAGGTGAGTCACTTCATGGACTGAGGCGGCCAGGGAAGATGCTCAGGTACCATCCCACGGATGCAGCCAGGTTCTCATTCCACCGCCGATTCCCTTGTACTCTCCCTTCTGCCCTGGACACAAAACCACGAGATGCCAACCATGGAGGCTGGCCTGGCCATTGGCCAGACAGGTGGCAGTGTGATGACTCAGCTCACTGCACTGTAGCTGTGACACCCTCAGACAGGGAGAAGTCTGAGGGAAAAGCTGCCTGGCTTTTGTTCCCAAAGACACTTGGGAGGCCCTCCTATTACAAATGGTGCCTTGTCCTCTGATATTGTTATATGGAAAGAGCACTGGCTCTTGAAATCAGACACCATCATTTACTGGCTGTGAGCCTCTCAGCACACTGCCACTGCCTCTCTTGGGTGGTTTCCTCATCTCTGGAATGGGAATCGTAACTCTTGCCTGCATATTTCGCGGGAATTTGAGAGTAGGAGTCACAGTACTTTTGTAAGCTGTAAAGGGCGGTTTTGCTGAAAGAGGGTGCCTTCGTTAGTAGCGGTGGCAGCCAGTTGGATTTGGCAGTTGTCACTTTCTTCCGCTTTGGGGTGTTCCTGGACTATAAAGGAATGCCCTCAGTAGATGTATAAGTTGACTCTTGCACTACTTTTCCCTAAGCTTTGAGCAAAGCGAATGTTCTTGGATTTAGGCTCCAAGAGCCTGATGTGTTAGGGGAATGGTTGGGTGGGGTGGGAAATGAGGCTGGAGAGCTAGGGTAAGGCCTTGAATGCCCTGCCAAAGGAGTGGGACCTTTATCCTGATAGCATATGGAGCCACGTTCGTCTAGGTAGAATTTACACAATGATGGGGGATTTTAAGTGTACTGTTTGATTGGTGAGGCCTGAAGTAGGGGATGGACAGGAGAGAGGCTTAGGAGGCAGACTGGATGGGAAGTGGTGATGTGGTGACTGACTCGGTAGGGATGTCCAGCTGGTCTTGATGCTTCTGCTTTGGGTAGGCAGGCAGGGGGGTGACGATTTCTTCAAATGATTGATAACATCTCTTGGCAGTGTTTCTCCTGGCCCCAAATCTCCTTACTGTTTACTTGTAGACACATTTTTAGCTGTTCATTTTCTCAGTTGTAAGCAAATTACCTCGATTCTTTAAAAGCCTGAGGTCCACTCTTCCCCATCTCTAAAAAAAAAAATGGGGGAGAAATCTAATCAGAAAGCAGACTGATTTGTGGAGAAAAACCAATTTCATGCTTCTCAGAAAATGTAAATGCTGTTGGAAGTGATTACTTTTTAAATGAATGGCATAGGAAAGAGGGTACTAACCAGAACAGGTTTCTGGCAGCTTCAGACGCTGGACTGGGTGGAGCCAAGATACAGGCCCCTCTGCCGAGATCCAGACACACTGGGTAACACACTAACACCCTGTGGCCTGGAAGGCCATCTCTCCAACTGGCCTCACTGTTTGCTTTATGCCCAACAAGAGCATAAACGCTCTGGGGACCTGCACCACCTGGCTTTGTTCCCCCATCACTACCCCTTTCCCAAATTAAGTCAAGCTCACACATGACTTCTTCCAGGAAGCCTTTCCTGATCCCCCTTTCCCACAGAGGGAATCAGGCCCCTTGCACTAACGTTGTGCTTCACAAATGCTTCTCCAGTTGTGCCTTGCTGTCAAGAATTGATTATTTATTTCCCTGTTCCCAGGGCTTGAGAGCAGGGACAATAGTTTGTGCTTGTTTTTCAATCTGTTTTCAGCACAGGGCTTGGCCCACCCTGGGCATTCACTGTTGAATGAATGAAAGCATGTTCTTGTAGTTTCATGTCATGTTTAACCAGAGACATACAGTGATGTTAGAGGACTGGCCCAGAGGTTCTGGCTAGGTTGTAAGGGGGTGAGGGTCATGCTAATTTGCCAGCTTAATAAACAAACAAATGTGCTAAACTTGCGTTTTAATGTTGACTCACATCCAGAGTTTCACCTTGAATGTTGTTGGGAAGGTCCATGGACGATTAAGATTGCAATTCAATTAACCCCTCTTTTTTTTTTTAAAGATTTTATTAGGGAACTGGGGGAGGGGAACAGTGTTGGGGAATCAGGGAAAGGGAACAGACAAATTGCTGTCCTTTTGTTCTTCAGTCTAGTTGTGGAGGAC